TATTATAAATCAGAAAATGCACTATATTATCTTTGAAGCGATAAACCATGTTCTTTCTTTTTATAGCGGGCTTCCTCATAAAAAAATTACGAGTAATATTCTTCTCTCTTGCGATTGAGTGCTAGTTTACAGGGAACGATATGGGGACTGACATTCTATTTGTTATTATAATAGAAGTACCTACAACTGATATTGCAATATCGAAGTACCCTTAGTGGGTTTCTTCATTTGCAGCCAACTCTGATATGTGGTTATGCGAGTGTTGTCACGTGATACTACTGTAGTTCCAAATCTAGTGTGTGGGTTTTTTTGTTAGGATTATCCTGTGCCCAGGTTCTGTTAAAACTCGCCCTTGAATTCAGCGTGCAATTCGCCTCATCGTCCCCTACCCTCCTATTCGCTTACGAAATTAGTTTGCAATTCGCCCGCGACTAGCTCGCGATTCGCCCCATCAACATAACACTGTACGCTTATTAAAAAAATCGTTTCTTTTCTCGTTTTGCTCTGGCAGAATTTTTTCTTGCCAGCGCTACACATTCTTCATTTCTTCCGCTGTCAACTCGATTTCTCCGCTGACTTGGTTTCTTGAATTTTGAGCACCTGCTCTACTCAGCTCTCTCCTGTGCGCATCTGTTCCGTTTCCCTTCCCAGCTGTTAATTCGAACTCTGTCATACTCTTGGTTCCTCGAATTCCTCCTCTACCTGCTCTCTCTGCCATTTTCTCCCAACCCACCATCGCCCATCCTGCTGTCTAGCTATCATCCAGCTATCGCGTTTAACCAACACCCAGCCGTCGCCTCTCCCTCTTATCCCGTCGCACCTCCCTCCTACCCCGCCGTCGCCATTCCCTCCCATCCCGCCGCCACCTCACACCCCGTCGTCGCCTCTCACTCCCGCCTCCCCGTCGCCTCTCCTTCCCTCCCCGCTATCGCCTCTCCTTCCCTCCCCGCCGTCGCCTCTCCTTCCCTCCCCGCCGTCGCCTCTCCTTCCCTTCCCGTCGTCGCCTCTCCATCCCTCACCGCCGTCGCCTCTACTTCCCTCCCCGCCGTCGCCTCTGCTTCCCTCCCCGCCGTCGCCTCTCCTTCCCTCACCGCCGTCGCCTCTCCTTCCCTCCCCGCCGTCTCCTCTGCTTCCCTCCCCGCCGTCGCCTCTCCTTCCCTCCCCGCCGTCGCCTCTCCTTCCCTCCCCGCCGTCGCCTCTCCTTCCCTTCCCGTCGTCGCCTCTCCATCCCTCACCGCCGTCGCCTCTACTTCCCTCCCCGCCGTCGCCTCTGCTTCCCTCCCCGCCGTCGCCTCTCCTTCCCTCACCGCCGTCGCCTCTCCTTCCCTCCCCGCCCTCTCCTCTCCTTCCCTCCTCGCCGCCACCTCACACCCCGTCGTCGCCTCTCACTCCCGCCTCCCCGTCGCCTCTCCTTCCCTCCCCGCTATCGCCTCTCCTTCCCTCCCCGCCGTCGCCTCTGCTTCCCTCCCCGCCGTCGCCTCTCCTTCCCTCCCCGCCATAGCCTCTCCTTCCCTCCCCGCCGTCGCCTCCAGCGACAAGTACACGAGCGCAAGCGCGAGTTGGTGCGCGAGCGCAAGTCGGTGCGCGAGCGCGGTTTGGTGCACCAGCGCGGATTGTTTTCTGAGGCACCATGATTATCAGGTGCGTTCCCGGTCCTTTCATCCTCCCTCCCCCTTCTCAAATGTCCGCCCCCCCCTCCCCCACCCTCCCCCCCTCCCTTTTTTTTTTGCTCTATGTGTACATCTTGTCTGTCGATTGGTCTCCTCTTGCATTGCACTTTCATTTGAAGAAAAGGAGAGACGGAGCTCGAGGGAGAGCGTGTGCGCGGGAGCGAACGCTCAGGAGAGTGCGCGTGAGAGAGCGCGCGAGAGAGCGCGTGAGAGTTCGAGTGCGCGTGAGAGAGCGCGTGAGAGTCCGCGTGCGCGTGAGAGAGCGTGTGAGGGTGCACATGAGAGAGCGCGTGAGAGTGCGCGTGAGAGAGCGCGTGAGGGAGAGCGTGGGAGAGAGCGCGTGAGAGAGCGCGTGTGAGAGCGTGTGAGAGAGCGGGTTATAGCGCATGAGAGTGTGTGTGAGAGTGCGCGTGAGAGTGCGCGTGAGAGTGCGCGTGAGAGTGCGCGTGAGAGTGCGTGTGAGAGCGCGTGAGAGAGCGCGTGAGAGAGCACGTGAGAGAGCGCATGAGAGTGCGCGTGGGAGAGCGCATGAGAGTGCGCGTGAGAGAGCGTATGAGAGAGCGCGCGAGAGAGCGCGTGAGAGAGCATGTAAGAGAGCGCGTGAGTGTGCGCGCGAGAGAGCGCGTGAGTGAGCGCGTGAGTGAGCGCGTGAGAGAGCGCGTGAGAGAGCGCGTGAGAGAGCATGTGAGAGAGCGCGTGAGAGTGCGCGTGAGAGAGCGCGTGAGAGAGCGCGTGAGAGAGCGCGTGAGAGAGCGCGAGAGAGCGCACGAGGGAGTGAGTGAGAGAGAGCATGAGAGGGCGCGATAGAGAACGCGTGAGAGAGCGCATGAAAGAGTGCGTGAGGTAGCGCGTGAGATAGAGCATGAGAGAGCGCGTGAGAGTGCGTGTGCGAGAGCGCGTGAGAGTGCGCGTGAGAGAGTATGTGAGAGAGCGTGTGAGTGAGCGTGAGAGAGAGCGCGCGAGGGGGCAAGTGAGAGAGAGCATGAGAGGGCGCAATTGAGAGCGCGTGAGAGAGCACGTGAGAGATCGCGTGAGAGAGCGCGTGAGAGAGCGAGTGAGAGCGCGTGAGAGAGCCCGTGAGAGAGCGCGTGAGAGAATGCGTGAGAGAGTTAGTGAGAGCCCGTGAAAGAGCCCGTGAGAGAGCGCGTGAGAAAGTGCGTGAGAGAGTGCGTGAGAGAGCGCATGAGAGAGCTTCATGAGCACGCTGCAACGTGCTCATGAACTAGTGTGTGTCGCTTATGCGAACTACTTATGCAAACGCGTGTCGCTTTCTGCCCTAGTGCTTAGGGTGCCGGCTTCTAAGATGTTGACTTCCCTGTTTTTGCTTGCGCAGGGCGTGTGAGCTGAGAAGGGAGATGAGGGAGGGAGTGGGAGGGAGATGAGGGAGGGAGTGGGAGGGAGATGAGGGAAGGAGGGACGGAGGGGTGTAGGGAGGGTAAAGGGGAATAGGCTAGCGGCGATTTATGCACTTCTGAATTTCATCTGGATGGTTGCGTGTTTATTATGGTATCTGTGCTTGTTTGCTTGTGTGTCACTGTGTGCAGGGAGTGAGAGCTGCATTTGCTGTTTTTTTCTTTCCTGTGCAGGAAGTTTGAGCTGCAATCATTGTTTATTGTGGAGAGCAAAGGGGGGGTTGGGTGGGGAAGGAGGGGAAGGGAGATCAGGGAGGGGGGTAGGGAGGGGAATGGGGGACAAGTTAGTGATGGCTTATGCTTTGGTGAACTTCATTGCCTATGCTTGCATGCTTAGTATTAGCTATATGTTTCTGCGTTTTTTTTTCTGTCTGCGTATGTGTGAGCTTGTATGTGTGTGCGTACATGTATGTAGTGTTGTTTGTGTCTGTTTCGGGGTGAGTGCTAAGTGCCTCGTGTATGCAATTGGGGTTGTGATCGTTGGTGGGGCAGCTTTGCTTGCCTCTTCCATACCAGATCAATCGCAGTTGCATCAATGATGCATTTTAGCACTAGCTTCGAAGCATTCACAACTGTTGTCCCTCGTTTTTGTACAAGTTAGTGTGCTGTCGTTTGTGACTGCTTTGGGGTGTGGTGCTAAGTGCCTCATGTATGCAACGTGGGTTGTGATCGTCGGTGGGGCAGCTTTACTCGCCTCTTCCGTACCATATCAATCCATGTTGCAACATGAATGCATTATAGTATTCACTTCAAAATATTCACATATTGTTTGTTTGTTTGTTTTGTATTTTCCTCGTACAATTTTGCATGTTTTTTTTTTTCCACTGGTAGAAGTTTGCCTATGAGTGCGTTTCTTATCGTTATGTCATTTGTGCCAAGAGATTGTCCAATTGTTCCATTCGCCTTATCGACGATAATGGAATGATTGGACACATTTGTTTCCATTTTTCGGGTAACTTATGTGAACAGTGCTTTTTTCTTCATTTTGAGAAGAGAATCACTGTTCACATCAGTCAACCGAAAAGTGAAAACGAATGTATAAGGTTGCTACGCAACCCAAAAATAGTATCAACCTACCATTCCATACTTAGGGCGTGTCATAAGAGTTCGTTCTCGCTATAGAACCCAACACAAACGTAGAGAACATAAGACGAAACGCTCCCGAAACGCACAGAAACGCATCCACCGTATTCAAGTGAACTTTTACGACACGCCCTTATTCCAGCCTTGACAGCCGTCGACATCCAGCACCACACAATCAGAACAGTGGAGGGTGCTGGCAACAGTAAACTCGGGCTCCCAAGCCGAAATGTGCTGCCTACTTGGAAACCAAGGCGAAATGTGCTGCGAACACGGAAAACAAAGGCGAAATGTGCTGCGAACACGGAAAACCAAGGCGAAATGTGCTGCGATGGTCGGTTCTACCGAATCAAACTCGAACTCGACTGTCGTAAAAAAGTCCCGATTTCGGAACTTTTGTCGTAAGTGCACCAACATTCGTCAACCTTCTCCGTCCGCCACCGACGTCCGTCGGAAGATGGATGGACGTGGTGGGTTGGATGTGATTAGGCACTTCGGACATGCCTTTACAGCATTCAGCATCAATTCGTTTTTGTCACTCACTCACGCTGGCCTGGCCGGGCACGTAATTAACCCCCACCAAAACAGTGGCAGCTCAAACTATCCCTGCCAGCATTCTGTCTGATCTAGGATCCTCACCTCCTTAGAGCGGGTAATTTTCAGCTCGACTTTGTTACCCATCCCGGCCAGTCTGAACATTGACCCGACCAATGGACAAAGTGTGACATCTCACTGAATCGCCGCATGCATGCAAACGAACGAGAAAGACCCGCCCTCAGCGTGCTTAGGTGTTTGTCCTCAGCTGTGACGCACCCGTTCCCCGTTCCGCACACGTTAGTAGAAGCGCCTGCTTCCGCCGCGCGCCGCATGCGGTCGTCGCAGGCGCATCGTTTCTCCCCGGCCCGCCTGCCGCCGGGTGTCGCGAGGACGCTGCTGTTGGCGGCGTGGGTGGCGGGATGGGCGGGGCTGTGCGCGTGGGTGGTGTGGTTCGCGCACTCGCAGGCCGCCAATCCGCGGCAGGAGGCGATGCGAGCGTGGTGTCGCACGCGCGTGCGATACCTCCAGCAGGACATCCGATCGTCCATCTCCCGCGCGCAGGTACGCGCGATAAGCCGTGCAAATTCTCCCCTCGCGTCGTCCATTTCGCGCGCGCGCAGGTGAGCCGGCGACCCGCCAAGTAAATCGCTGCTATACTAGGAGCCCATCTGACCGTTGACAAACCTTTAAACAAACCACATTTTAGCCTTCAAGCAAAATGAGGCGTCGGTGACTCCGTCCACAAAGATAAGGCACGACGGATGCGGACCAAGGTGGTGCCCACAACCGGGCCAGAGGCCTATGTGGCTCGGAACGATGAGCAGCACCTCGTCCAATCGCATGCTCGTCTGACGCCGAGCCACATCGGCTCCGTCACGTCCTTCGCTTCGGTCGGCGTGGGGTCTGGTGGCATGCAGCGTCACACGGGCCTGGCATGCAGCGTCGTCCCTGGGCATACACGTGTCCTCACGCCAGCGGGTCGCGAAATGGCCAAGGGTCCCGAGGGGATCACCAGGATTTCGCCGGGCCCTCGCCGTCGGGGCAGCGCGAGAGGGTTACTAGGTCGTCGCGGGCAGGGCCACGGCGAGGGCTGCCTTCGCCCTAGGGTTACTTTCCCTCGCGCGAATTCAGAATCGCGCAGAGTCATGATGATCCGACCCCGGGACGCCTCTCGCGACGACACTCGCTCGTCCAGATCATCGCAGCACACGCGCACGCGATTCACTACCCCTAGCCCAAGCAGTCGGACCTTGCCTTCCCTTGCCCGCTCTCTTCCTTCCTCCAACACCTCAACGGTGGTGACTTTTTCTTCAGTACCCAGTAAAACCAAACGACCCAAACTTTGGGTTTACATATGGGTCTCAGAATGGAACGTCTGTGGACTGGATTGGCATATGGGTTTAGAGGCATTCGCGAATAACCCCCGTTCTGACCCAGTGGCCTAGCGAGACGTTATACAGAAATGCGTGGCACCCGCTTGCGTCTCTCCCTCCTTAAGCTTCGCACCCGCCTCTCACCCGCCCAACCACAATTGCCGCTCGTGTGATCTCCCCTTCTCGTCTTGGGTTAGGTTGGGGTGAGACGATTTTGCAGATGCTCCTCTTCTCAGTCTCGCCTGCGCAGTCTCCCCGTCTCAGTCTCCCTTTCGCAGTCTCACCTTCTCAGTCTCACCTTCGCAGTCTCCCCTTCTCAGTCTCGCCTGCGCAGTCTCCCCGTCTCAGTCTCCCCTTCGCAGTCTCACCTTCGCAGTCTCACCTTCGCAGTCTCCCCTTCTCAGTCTCGCCTTCGCAGTCTCACCTTCTCAGCCTCTCCACGTCCGTCTGCAGCAGCAGAGTCTTCCTGCCGCCATGCGCTTTCACATGCTGTTTCTTTCTTTTCCTTTGCACCCCCCACTTCTCACTCGCGGTGGCGGGCGCTCGCACTTTTATCGTCCAGTCTTCGCTTAAGCTTCAAACTCAGTCTCCCAACTTAGCCTCTCATTCTCCGAGTCTGTCAGTTGCCAAACCACTCGGTCTCCCAACCTATCATTTGCCAAACCACTTTCTAGAATGGAACCTCTGCTACTCTTACCCTATCCGCATGCACGCATTGCTCTTACCCTATCCGCATGCACGCATTGCTCTTACCCCATCCGCATGCACGCATTGCTCTTACCCCATCCGCATGCGCTGCACTTTGCTTACCCTTTTATTTCCCGCTCCTCCCTCCCCAACCGACCCACGCACCGCTCGCCGCCGCCCTCCCTCCTGCAACCGATCCCATTGTTTCCCCATACCCACTTTCCTTTCCTCCGTCCCTCCAACCCTCCCATGACCCGTCCCCATCCGTCCCGTGACCCGTCCCTCCTTCTCATCTCTCCTCCTCCCCCACCCCTCCCAATCCTCGCATCTCCCACCTCCGGTGTCACGCTGCAGGAGACAATCGGGCTGGGCTGGAACCCTCCCCACCGCCTTGGGGACACTTTGGGCACGCAGCAGCAGCAACATCCCCCATCCCCCCCCCCCCCCCATCCCCGCCCCGCCTCCCCCCTTAAACCCTTCCCCCTACAACCCCTCCTTATGTCGCCCGCCTCACTCTGCACTGCAGGAGGCAATCGGGCTGGTAAGCGTTCTGGGGCACTTCGGGCCGCGCAGCAGCAGCAACCTGAGCTACTGGGGGCTGGCGGGGTGTGTGAACAACAACTCGATGTCTGACTACAACCTGCAGGTGGACGTGATCGGCAACTTCAGCACGGGCACCATCCTCATGATCGTCAGCGACCAAGACAGGTGAGATCCACGGGTTCCTATGAAAGCATGCATCTGCTGGGGTTCTAATCCAAGCCTGTCAGGGTGCAATCAGGGTTGTGAATGAGTAGCACTGGTGCGAGCCTGGCTGGCAGGCACTACGGACCCACCCTCCCAGCACTGCTTGACACATGAGCCTGCCAGGGCTCCGATCCAAGCATGCATCTGCTGGGGTTCCAACTTCCAATCCAAGCCTGTGAGGGTGAAATCAAGGCGGTGAATGAGTAGCACTGGTGCGAGCCTGGCAGGCACTACGGACCCACCCTCCCAGCACTGCTTGACACATGCTGACCTGTGGCATCGCACTTACACCACTTCATATGACTCATGTGAGCCCCTCCTCGCGTATGAGGACCCCCATGTGACCTCTCATGAGAGGCGTCTCAATGGAGGTCATTCCTAGGGTCGTGCTCTCCACCTCGTTCTCCACCTCGTGCTCTCCACCTCGTTCTCCACCTTGTGCTCTCCACCTCGTTCTCCACCTCGTTCTCCACCTCGTGCTCTCCACCTCGTTCTCCACCTCGTGCTCTCCACCTCGTTCTCCACCTCGTGCTCTCCACCTCGTTCTCCACCTCGTTCTCCACCTCGTGCTCTCCACCTCGTTCTCCACCTCGTGCTCTCCACCTCGTTCTCCACCTCGTGCTCTCCACCTCGTTCTCCACCTCGTGCTCTCCACCTCGTTCTCCACCTCGTGCTCTCCACCTCGTTCTCCACCTCGTGCTCTCCACCTCGTTCTCCACCTCGTGCTCTCCACCTCGTTCTCCACCTCGTGCTCTCCACCTCGTTCTCCACCTCGTGCTCTCCACCTCGTTCTCCACCTCGTGCTCTCCACCTCGTTCTCCACCTCGTTCTCCACCTCGTGCTCTCCACCTCGTTCTCCACCTCGTGCTCTCCACCTCGTGCTCTCCACCTCGTTCTCCACCTCGTGCTCTCCACCTCGTTCTCCACCTCGTGCTCTCCACCTCGTTCTCCACCTCGTGCTCTCCACCTCGGGGGCACGTTGACCCCTCCCTAGGCAGGCATCAGCAATGGGCTCATTGCATGCGTTGGGCAGTGGCAGTGGCACTGGGCTCATTGCATTACACTTACACTTCTTCTCTCCTCCCCTCCCTGCAGTCCCCTGGTAGAGAGCATCATAGGCCATCCAATCCGCTCAGTGCTGGGCCTGCCCGCCCCAAGGAAGCATCTGATGGAGTGAACGTGTATGGCAGCATCTACCCCACCGTTCCCTGCTCCTCCCCTCCCGCTCCCTGCACTCCAGGCCTCTAGTGGAGAGCATCATAGGGCATCCAATCCAGTCAGTGCTGGGCCTCCCCGCCCCAAAGAAGGATCTGTATGGAGTGAACGTGTACGGCAGCATCAACCCTGACTTTCCAGTGCAGCCCTTCACCGACTTCTTTCCTCTCGTCCCTCTGGACCTCCGCACCAACCTGTTAAAAGGGCAGACTGTCGCGGGTGCTCCTCTCTCTACTGGACCCGGATACGTGGCAATTGGTTCGTGGTCTCCTCTTTCCTCTGTGCCCTAACTCTCCCACTCTCTCGGTGTTTCAACTTTCTAGTGTCATCCCTGCTTCGTCCTATGTTTGCAAAAGTGTGGTCTGGAACAGGAGATTGTCATACATCGTGTGTGTTTGAATGTTCATCCCTCTGCAGAGTATTCCTTCTTGCCCTTACTCTTGCATTCTACTGGCTGCTATAAGGCCCCCACTCGGTATCGGGACTCCATTGCAAGGCGCGTTTCAAAGGGGTGCCACTAGGTCTTATGATCATGTGCTTTGCAACATAGGCCAGAATGCCCTTGTTCTTTATCAGATGACCCCCCTGACCATGCATTCTATCAGTCACCACAAGTGGTCTGATCAAGTCTGCCATGCCTTCAGTGCAACAATATTAGCAGGTCTCTAGAGAATACTTTTGAAAGAAAGGAACGGACTCGCCGTTCAACCGTTCAGTGCATCTTCCCCTCCCCTCCCGGCTTTCCTTGCAGTGTTTCTCATCCCCATCTTCCGCCATCCTCTGCCAGCCAGTGCGTCTTTGCAACAAATCCAAAACAGCATTAGCATTGCGTGGGCCGGTGTGGTGCATCTTGAGATGATGGCCCGAGAATTATTGCACATGCTTGAAACTGGTGAGTTCTTGAGGCATGAGTAACGGTTCGCCCCAAACATGCAATGTTCGCCCCTATCACGAACCTCGAAAACCCCAAATCTCCAAAATTATTTTACTGCTATTCTGCTCTTGTTGCGTGATTTTTGTTTGTGGAATCTCTATTTTGTCCCCTGCTCAACATGTTTGTGATTCTACATCTCACACTGGCTTGCTTGTTCTTTTCTCTCCTTTTTGCAAGCAGCAGCTCATACTCATTTGCCATGTACGACAACACGGACGCAGGCGTGCTGAAGCAAATATATGGCCCAAAAGAGCCACAGCTGGAAAGCCGTTCTGCCTTCCCATTTGTGCTGCCCACGCCTACGGTTGTGCCTCCCGAGCATCTGGAGCCTTTTCCTGAGAACGCATTTGGACGCACATTCGAAGCACATTGCGGGTAAGTATACATTGCAGGTTGCAATCATGAGTAGGGAATTGGGCATGCGTAGGCACGCATAGAAGGTCGAGCCAAACTGTTAGGGAAAATGGAATGTACAAAGTTCGACCACAGAAATTGAACAAGTGAGTGTTTGACCTGAACCTGAACAGGTTCGAATCAAACATATTCGAGTTCGGTTCAAACTCACAATTCGTTATAATCACAATGTTCTTAGACACGAGCAAATTGCCAGGTCGGGTCGGGTGGGCGTTCTACTCGACCCGGTCTGGTTCTTTTTGGTCGGGGTTGGGTCGCATGCATCTGACCCGAGGGTCTTGGGTCAGCCCATAGGGCTCGGGTCGGGTCGACCCGAGACCCGGATTCAGCTTTTGAGTCGGGTATTACTGGCCCGCCTGTTCGGGCTCACCTGACACAGATTGGGGTCGTGAATAGTGGAAACTGTTGTAATCTTATACTTCATACATCATCCATAAGCTAGATTGTAGTCTCGTCATTTATTCTATTGGGGGATTGATGGGTGTACCCTCCAACCACAACTTGTGGTTGGTCAAGATTGGATGTGGTCCTTGCCCTTTGGTTGGCACTTGCCAACCTTGGTCCTTACCCCCACCAATCCCAACCAACTCACAAATATGGTTGCTTGTGCTACAAGCATCCTCACCATTGGCCAACTTAGTGGCCAATAGGGCTAGGACGCCTCACAATTGTCACACCGGCCGAGGATCGGGACCACACATCGTTATTGTGAGCATCTATCGCCACAACGGTGTTCTAAACTGCAGGGGACACGATCGTCCTCAGGATCCATTTTTGGCGGAGCTAGTACCGTTTATGAGAGTTTGAATGCTTGTGGTGGGTTTCCAGTACCGTAGCGGGTCGATTTTGGACGATCTTAACGTGTCATGAGTTTACGCGAAAACTAGCGAAACACGGATACACTAGCATTTACGACATTGCGAAGCTACTGTACACTCACACATCGATCCCTTGCAGGATCGATGTGTCATTTGTGATGCGTCCTTAGCTTCTTTTACACTCCTCTCTTCCTCCTGGCTTGTAATATAGAGCCTCCTGGCTTATTACTTGAAACAACTTCTTGTTTTCTAACAGAAACAAGTCCGGTCAGTGCGGACCAGTGGACAAAATCGCTCCGATTTGTGCAAGTTGGCGTGTAAAATCGCCAACATGCGTGGGTTTGGCAGCCAAATACGCCGATCCGCGAGGATCGACGATTGGAATGGTTTGGGTCGGTCTACCTGAGTTTGGTTCGGGTCGACCCGAACAGATTATTTGGAAAAAATAATAATGAATAATTGTTTTATACGGCATATAATTTCAAACCGGGGGGCACCAACCATGGGACCACATTGATAGTGAAATTGAGCGAGCAGAGAGGAGGTGGAGTCTAAGTTGGAGTATACTCTCAGAGCCTCAAGCGTATCGCGTATATATGCTTGCGTTTAAACGCTATACGCTATCCGCTAAGGAATACGCAATACGCAGTCAAATTGTTTTTAGGGCTGCTCGGAAAAAAAAATGCGGAATAGGTGCGGAATTTCTTGGTGAGCATTTCGCGGAAGTCGAAATGCTAATCGGTGGTCCAGGCAAGCGGAAATGTGACTTCAAAGTTTGGAGGCATGTCTGGGAATCCAAATGTTGAATCTCATATTAGTACCGCACTGGAACCCATACCATCAACGAACTCCAACAAGTCCAAATCCACCCCCCCAACAAACCCCACGGTGCTTACCAGGCAGTCAGCCCTAATCTCGATATTTCTAGTTTTCATTTCATCTCGATCTCGCCGACCTCATTCTATCGACGAGTATGACTAGACTGCGGGCACCAACTTCGTGCTTTGCACCTCGCCCATCCCCCGCTCCTAACCTAACAAACTGCTTGGGGAATTTTTTTTAGGTGCCCGGGCCTGCGTATTCACTGCGTACAGGAAGACTCCCAAGAAGCGTTCGACGTTTATATGCTAGCGGATAAACACTAGCGTATTAAACGAGAAACGCGTATTTTCCAACCAAGGGTGGAGTTTTATTTATCTAGTTATATACATATTTGCTAAAACCTCAGACCCTTTCACACATGATTTCTTTGTGGCCATGGTAAAAAAAATAGTTTACCCCCACACCCTCAATTTTATTGTGACCTGAGTTGTCTAACAGGAAAAAGGGTAGTTTTTTTTTTTTTTTTTTTTTGCCCATACAAATTGGTCCGTATATCACGGAAACTGTATTGTTTTGCATTGCTAAAGGGTGCCTTATTCACCTGCTTTTCAAAATTGTAGGTTTCAGGTTCCTCCCCTTATGTGGGACGTGGGCTATGCTCCCTTGCTATTGGGCCTGCTGGTGCTGCGGAGAGTCACTCTACACTATGCATGAGCATTTGCCCCGGTCCGACATGACTTGGCCGGGCCAAGCGGGTTTTCGGGTCGGGTCGGGCCAGCCTCGGGCCAGGCCCCAGGGTGTTGAATACCCTGACCCGATCTCGGGTCGGGTCGGGTCGGGTCAGGAAAACCCGCCTCCGCCCGCCCCCTGCACAAATCGGCACTTTCGCCCACCAATCTGCGCAAATCGGCGATTTCGCCCGCCGATCTGCACAGATCGGCGATTTTGCCTGCCGATCCGCGCAGATCGACAATTCTGCTGGTCAACTTAATTTCGTTGTGAGGAAGCGAGGAACCCCCTCCTCCCCGTGAAATTTGTTGAAACACAAAATTCCAACCAATTTGCCGCCACTTACTACTCGTCACCGCATTGGATCTCTACACAACCCAACCCCCCAATGCGATTTCACAGCTCACGACATTGAGCTTAGTCCAACCCTAGGATGTCGAAGTGAAGTTAGGTAGGTTCCGCGGGACTAATGTTAGGCTTTTCTCTAAAGTCGAAACCAGGTCGGGCCTGACCCGACCCGAGTTCCCAGTTCCTGACTCGAATACGGGTCGGGTCGGCACGGGCCTAAAGCCCGGCCCGAGTTTCCTACTCGGGTCGAGTTTTAGGCCGGGCCGGGTCGGGCCGACCCGCCCGAGGCAGGCTATTGAAACCCCTGACCCTACCCGGGCAAAATCACGAGTCGGGTCGGGCCGGCCCGACCCGCGTGGGCCTCCTGCTCGTGCCTACTCTACACTGGGAGCTGGACTACGGGGGAAGGCACGGGTGGTACGAGAGATCGTAGCGTTTCTTGCGTTCTCTAGCACTTGCGTGTTCACAGGGCAAAACGGCAAGAGTTTCACTAGCAAGAGTTGAGAACTATGGTAGCAAAACCAATGGCAACAATGACTACATCAGATGTAAGATTTGCTAGCACACATGCAGGTCAACCGACAGCACAGCAAAGTCGGCGGCATGCCAGCACTGCAGGTTGGCACCGCGCCAGCGTTGCAGAAAGGCAGCATGCCAACAGAGCAAGTCGGCGGCTTGCCAACGCTGCACCAAGGCGGCTTGCCAACGCTGCTGCACAGCGGCCTGCCAGCGTTGCAACCGCAGGTGATACTAGCGCACATGCGCGCACCTACTTCGCAAGTGCTTGTAGACGTTGTGCACGTTGCGCACCACCACGATCGTTGCGCAGGTGCCAAGTCGGCCACATGCCGACGGATGCGCCTGAAGAGTCACGTCGACCTCGATATACTAGCCCGAGGTCGGTGTCGCCAAAACCACCTGGGCGACGGTCGCGCACCCCCGCAGAACCTTGTTGCCCTGATTACTTGGTCGACGGGGAAACCGCCAAATCGGTGTTGACTTGGGCGGCCTAAACCCGCCAACTGCTGTAGTGCTCGTAGACCGGTCAGGTCGACGGCCACCAGCTGACTTTACCAGGTCGGATCCCCGCAGGTCGGCGTCCACAAGCCAGCGCCCTCCGGTCGGCGACTTCCTTCGTCGACCACCCCGGCTGAAGTCGGCCGCCGGCTTCCCACGTCGGCGGCTTCACAGTGGTCCCCGCAGGTCGACCAACTTCGTCGACCTGCTCGCCTAAGTCAGCGGCGCCCACTGCATCTCCCACTAACCCAACCCCACCCAAGCGAGGCCAGCTCCCGTCAACAGGTGCTGCTAATGTCTCATTACATGAAGTTTACATGAATGCCAACCCAATGTGCAGGTTTGAGGGCGCCTACCCCAAATGGGACTTCGTGTACGCTCCCATGCTGCTGGGCCTGCTGGTGCTGCTGGTGTCTCCTTCACATGAAGTGTGTATGTCTCCTTCACTTCACATGGATTTCCATATCCCAATGTGCAGGTTTGAGGGGCCCTACCCCAAGTGGGACCTCGTGTACGCTCCCATGCTGCTGGGTCTGCTGGTGCTGCTAGTGGCGGTGCTGCTGTCCACCGTGATTGCAGTACTGGTTCGGAAGAAGAGAAGTTTACAAGCAGATGTGAAGGAGATTCAGCTGTGCACGGCCATCTTGGAGAGAGCTGAACGGTCCAAGAGTGAGGCGGTGGCCAGCACGTCGCATGAGCTGCGCACCCCAATCATTGGCATGATGGGTGAGTGAGGGCATGGCATGATGGGTGAGAGAGCATGGGATTATGGGTGAGAGAGCATGGCATGATGGGTGAGAGAGCATGGCATGATGGGTGAGAGAGCATGGCATGATGGGTGAGAGAGCATGGGATGATGGGTGAGAGAGCATGGGATGATGGGTGAGAGCATGGCATAACATGACATGGTACATGGGATGGGAGCATGGCATGATGGGTGAGAGAGAGCATGTCATTAGGGTGAGAGAGAGCATGGCATTAAAGGGTGAGTGAGAGCATGGCATGACGGGTGAGGGAGAGCATGGGATGATGGGTGAGAGCGTGGCATGGTGGGTGGGTGAGAGCATGCACACATGCATTGCACCAGAAGTTACGTAATGCCATTTTTTTTCCAGGTGTTTCTACCCACAATGCGCATGCAATCCTTTGCTGAGAACCTCTTTTCGTGGTGTGCCTCTTTCCCACCGGCAGGCATGATCGAGGAATTGTTGGATTCGCCATTGGAGGAGTGGCAGCAGGAGGACCTGCGGGTGGCGAGGGCGTGTGCGGGCGAGACGGTGGAGCTCATCAACCGAGTGTTAGACCTCGCCAAGCTGCAGGCCGGCAGGCTGCAGCTCGAGACTCTCCCCTGCTGCCTGCGCCGCATTGTGAGCGAGGCGACTGCAACTGCCAAACCGGGGAAGAATCTGCAAGGTATGATTGTGCAAATGGATCTCTCTTCTCCTGGCTTTTTAAACTTCGTGTGTATCATGGTCTCAGTGTTTGTTTCTTTGTTTTTTTTTAATGTTTTATTGTTTTTGTTGAATGCAGTGACAGTCCATGTGGACGAGAGTGTTCCAGAAACATTGATCGGTGATCCAAGTCGCCTCTTGCAAGTCATGGCTGAACTTGTCGGTGAGTTGTTCGCTATAATACTGTAAGATGGCCCGTCAAACAATTACCATCTTTTTTCACAGACTAATTTGGTTTGGTGTTTTCTTTTATGGGGTTATGGGTTGGTTATCGTCGCACACGCAATATCAGGCTCTTGCTTCTGTTACGTGCATGTAGAGGCTAGGATCTCAAGGAGAGCGTGTTTAGGAACTAAACAACCTGAAGAAAGTGGAGAACGTGGGAGAGAGGACTGAGATGGGGATTACTCTTTTGTCCTGAGATGACGTGGGGGTAAGAAGCGACTGGTAGTGTCCTGAGGAAATCCACGATAAGGGCCTGTGATGACTTCGGTGGTGCATTTTACATTTTTAAAGGAGGGGGCAGAGGGAAGGAGAAGATTAGACAAAGGGCACACGAGGGGGATGAAAAGCTGGCTGATAGTTAGGGGGGTAGTTCAGACGAGTTGAGAAGAGACCAGGCAATGATGCAAAGGAACCCTGCTGATGGCATTAAGCTGCTATTCTTCCACGCATTGCATTGAACAACACATTTCCACATTTCCCTCCGGCAGCGAGTGCCATGAACAACACGGCAGCGGGCCACATAGCCATCCGACTCTGGTGCATCCCTCCTCCACATACCGTCAGCTCGCCTCCTCCTCCAACCAATGCTCCCACGGGCGCCACACAAGCTTCCTCTGAGCCTCCACCGGCGCCCTCACCATGGCAGGAGCTGGCCGGCTGTGTTCGGCGCTTCCCTCTCCCTTCTCACCACTCGCAAGCACCGACCGCAACAAGGCCTCCTCCTCCACCCGCTGCTCCCACGGGCGCCACACAAGCTTCCTCTGAGCCTCCACCGGCGCCCTCATCATGGCAGGAGCTGGCCGGCTGCGTGCGCCGCTTCCCTCCGCCCACACGCCTGCTCTGCCTTCCCCAGCGCCACCTAGCTAGCCACGGGGGGCCCGTGGGTAATGGGGGTGGGAAGGCGTGCAGCAGAGACAGCATGGGCAGTGCAGAGGAGAGGCAGGGTGGGGATGGGCGGTTGGAGGAGGAGGTGAGGGAGTGGGTGGAGGGGGCGTGTGCGGTGAGGGAGGAGGGCGAGTGGATAGTGGTGGTGGCGTGTGAAGACACGGGCGGTGGTATACCACCCGAGGAGCTGTGGGGGTTGCTGGACCCACATGGCCTTGCTTGTCTCCCGCCGCACGACATGCACGGCAATGGGCATCCAAGAGTCATGGTGAGTATCTAATTTGCTGCTTCAGGCTTGCATTGTTGCAAATGCCTGGTGTTGCGCAACAATGCACCACATATGGTGCATTGTTGCGCAAGAACCATTTGCTGCTTCAGGCTTGCATTGTTGCATTTATGGTTGAGCAAGAACACATGTCTGGTGTTGTGCTTCAGGCTCGTGTTGCTGCCTTTAGAGTTGAGCAAAAGCACCTGTCTATCTGGTGTGTTGCTTCAGGCTCGCAATGTTTTCTTTTAGTACAGGTCAAATGGTTGTTCGTGCTTTTCTTGGAACCTGAGTACGTGCAAAGTGGTCTTGGAGTCTGAATAACGGATGTAATTCGGTGGTCTGTTCCCGCTCCATTCATCACCATACATACACCGGCCTGCTCTGGTGCGCTCACGGGTCATCCGAGACCCACAGCGTGCTGGATGAATCTGATTTGCTTTTGAGACGTCTCAAAAGTCGAGACCCACAGCGTGCTGCATGAATCTGATTTGCTCATTCCTGATTTCAATCTGGTTGCTGTCGCAGGAGAGAATACGGTCGTTCGGGAGGGCGGACTCACGGAAGGGCCTGGGGAGGGCAGATTCACGGAAGTGCATGGGAAGGTTGGCGTCACTTTTCCACTTGGATTTAATTTGCGAGTCATTCCTGTCCTTGGATGCGATGTGGCAGGAGAGAATACGGTCGTTCGGGAGGGCGGATTCTCTGAAGGGCCTGGGGAGGGCAGATTCATGGAAGGGCCTGGGGAGGTTGGCGTCGTGGCGGCAGAGGGAGCGCAGCGTGTGGGATCCGTTGCAGCGCGATCGCAAGGCAGCTGCAGGCCCCCGCTGGACGCCCTACCCTGTTCGCTTCCTGCTCTCCACCTCCCTTGTAAGCTCCTCAGCTCACCTCCCTTGTAAGTGCCTCAATCTCTCTTCCAAAGCAGCCACCGCGATCGCAATGCAGCTGCTGGCCCCCGCTGGACGCCCCTACCCCGTTCGCTTCCTGCTTCCTGCTCGATCTCCCTTGTGAGTGTCTCGATCTCCCTTGTGAGTGCCTCCCTAAACGAATCGGATTGTTTTGTAAGTCAAATCACGACTATCTGATGTTCAAATTTCGGGACGTCCGATTTTGTACTTGCCGTACACACAATCTGCTCCAGCATTGTATTCACTTGCGTGGTATTCATACTTATTCGCACAAACAGCCATACATTTGTTCAATCACATATTCGTCCTCGCCTTAGCACTTGACAAATATTCGAAAGGCTGAACATTCGACACAACACTGAACATGTAGAGTAGTGTCGAAGGTTCATGTCGACAGGCTGAACCTTCGTAACATGAAACCATCGTGAAGGTGAGACCTAGGCTCATATAGGAATGCGACCGTTTATTCCAAATAAAGCATGAAGTGTGATATTCGTGGCATGTTCGCATTCGATAACGGCCAATATATTTGGCGCCAATATATTTCGCAACATGTTTAAAAGAAGGTTTTCTTTAACACTAGTCGTATTACCTTCCCTATCAATTGCCGTATTCGTATCTTTCCTCCTGCTCTGTTATCCATACATGCCTCTACACGCTTGATTATTAAACATTCTCGTGTTTCTGACTTACCTTTATTCATATCAATCCTCTTCCTTTACCCCCTCCCCTGCCTTTGCCCCTTCCTGTCCTACCTTTTCTCTGCAACACAGGTGGCGGAGATGTGGGGGGGCATGGCATGGCAGTGCTGTTCACTCCATCACTCCCGCACCCCCTTCTCTTCCGACCACCCCCACTCGCCCGGCAGGTGGCGGAGATGCGGGGGGGCATGGCAGTGCTGTCAGACGCCTCCACAGGCACCACCATTCTGCTGGCGCTGCCCCTGGGGGGAGGGGAGGACGCCAGCAGCACAAAAGTTGGGGAGGAAGCTGACGAGCCAGGGGGCGCTGCTGAGGCGCGAGAGAGAGGATTGGAGGAGGGGCCTCCCAGTGGCGCTGCGGCTCTGCCTCAGCAGCGGCCAGCAGCAGAAGGGGCACGTGCACTGGTGCATGCTCACACGTTTCCACAAGCCGAGATAGAGAGGGCCGTGGGGGAGGCGGAGCGGGTGGTGCGGGCGGTGGTGGCGGGGCGGGGGGTGGCGGTGGTGGATGACAACGCGGTGAACCGCATGGTGGCGCGCAGAACGCTGCAGGGCTACGGGGCGCACGTGCTGCTGCTGCCCTCCGGGGAGGAGGCGCTGCAAGCGCTCTCCTCTGCTCTTGAGGCGCCTCAACAGTCGCTCTCCTCTGCCACGCCCTCCCCGCCCATCCACCTGCTGCTCCTCGACCTCCACATGCCTCCCGGCATTGACGGGTCCGTGCCCCTCCTTTGCCCTGCTGCTGCCCGTTTGTCACTCCGCATCGACGGATTCGTGTCTTGCTTCGTGTTACCTCCACCTCTCTTCATCCTGCAACCTCTTTGCATCCTGATAGTGATGTTGTAACTGGTTCTCTTTGGTCTCCATTTTCTCTTGTCATTAGAATGCCTCGTCAGTTGCTAACCGTTTGTTTGTTTGTTTGTTTGTTTTGTTTTGCTTTTTGTTTTGTTTCGTTTTATTTTGTTTGTTTTGTTTGTTCTGATTTTTTTTTCTGTTTTTTTTTTTGCTGCACACCTGATATTGGCCGCTCTGTGCACGAATTCGGTCGATCAGATTTGAAACAGCTCGTCGAGTGCGCGCCATGGAAAACGCACAGCAGATGGATGTGGAAGAAAGTGCAGCAGAGATACACGAAGCAGCAGATACAAGAGTAGATGATGCAGGCACGGTAATGAGTGCATCCAGGCAGCGGCTTTGCATCATAGCACTTACTGCAGACTTGGACGCAGGAATCAAGAGAGCATGCTTGGAGGCAGGGATGGATGGAGCTGTGAGGAAGTCGATAGTGGCACAGGAGCTTGCTGCAGCATTCTCAGCTGCAAGGCTCGTATGAAATAGAGGGGAGTACATACAGCATTCTAAGGCCCCGGCCATAAGTTGTGCGGTAATTGTATGATACACCATACTAAATCGTTATACGAAATACCGTACCTAATGTAAATGTACATGTTCGCCCAATCGACCCTTTATCGAAACTTCAGCTCCAAGGTAGAGAGATCCCTAGCTTGTGTGAGAATGGTCGTGATTGCACCTTTCCATGCAATGTTTGTGTGAAACTAGTGAATGTACCTCTTCATATGACAAGTTTGAAAGTGCAGGTAATGCTCTGTAGCCTTTATTTACGGTATTACCGTTTGAAAACTAACTAAACAAACTCACACTTTTTCCAGGGGGTGCTCTTTTAATCTAGGACTAGCCAAAAGCTCAGTGCTCCAGATAGGAGCGCATACACTTATCATAGGCCTGCACCTCTATCCGGGAGTTATTCTTCAGTATCTTATGAACAAGATAAATCGTGTTTCAGGGTTCAGGGCGATAGCGAGATACCATATCCAATCTGGGTTTCAGCTTTATGCAGTACTGACACTACAACCTATGACGAATGCTCTGCAGACTCCTTGCAGAGTCTTGTCTTAATTAGGAGCTTTGTACACGAGGAGCCTTCAATTGTTACTCCTAGGAGAGCCCAGCTGCAGAGAACACTGCAGCTCGCTGCTCCATCCATCCCCGCCTCCCATGCATGCTCTCTTGATCCCTGCATCCATGTCCGCAGTCAATGCTATCATGCAAAGCCGCTGCTTTGATGCAAATGCTCCTGTGCCTGCATCGCCGACACTTGGAACTGCTCCATCCATCCCCGCCTCCATGCATGCTCTCTTGATCCCTGCATCCATGTCCGCAGTCAATGCTATCATGCAAAGCCGCTGCTTTGATGCAAATGCTCCTGTGCCTGCATCGCCGACACTTGGAACTGCTCCATCCATCCCCGCCTCCATGCATGCTCTCTTGATCCCTGCATCCATGTCCGCAGTCAATGCTATCATGCAAAGCCGCTGCTTTGATGCAAATGCTCCTGTGCCTGCATCGCCGACACTTGGAACTGCTCCATCCATCCCCGCCTCCATGCATGCTCTCTTGATCCCTGCATCCATGTCCGCAGTCAATGCTATCATGCAAAGCCGCTGCTTTGATGCAAATGCTCCTGTGCCTGCATCGCCGACACTTGGAACTGCTCCATCCATCCCCGCCTCCATGCATGCTCTCTTGATCCCTGCATCCATGTCCGCAGTCAATGCTATCATGCAAAGCCGCTGCTTTGATGCAAATGCTCCTGTGCCTGCATCGCCGACACTTGGAACTGCTCCATCCATCCCCGCCTCCATGCATGCTCTCTTGATCCCTGCATCCATGTCCGCAGTCAATGCTATCATGCAAAGCCGCTGCTTTGATGCAAATGCTCCTGTGCCTGCATCGCCGACACTTGGAACTGCTCCATCCATCCCCGCCTCCATGCATGCTCTCTTGATCCCTGCATCCATGTCCGCAGTCAATGCTATCATGCAAAGCCGCTGCTTTGATGCAAATGCTCCTGTGCCTGCATCGCCGACACTTGGAACTGCTCCATCCATCCCCGCCTCCATGCATGCTCTCTTGATCCCTGCATCCATGTCCGCAGTCAATGCTATCATGCAAAGCCGCTGCTTTGATGCAAATGCTCCTGTGCCTGCATCGCCGACACTTGGAACTGCTCCATCCATCCCCGCCTCCATGCATGCTCTCTTGATCCCTGCATCCATGTCCGCAGTCAATGCTATCATGCAAAGCCGCTGCTTTGATGCAAATGCTCCTGTGCCTGCATCGCCGACACTTGGAACTGCTCCATCCATCCCCGCCTCCATGCATGCTCTCTTGATCCCTGCATCCATGTCCGCAGTCAATGCTATCATGCAAAGCCGCTGCTTTGATGCAAATGCTCCTGTGCCTGCATCGCCGACACTTGGAACTGCTCCATCCATCCCCGCCTCCATGCATGCTCTCTTGATCCCTGCATCCATGTCCGCAGTCAATGCTATCATGCAAAGCCGCTGCTTTGATGCAAATGCTCCTGTGCCTGCATCGCCGACACTTGGAACTGCTCCATCCATCCCCGCCTCCATGCATGCTCTCTTGATCCCTGCATCCATGTCCGCAGTCAATGCTATCATGCAAAGCCGCTGCTTTGATGCAAATGCTCCTGTGCCTGCATCGCCGACACTTGGAACTGCTCCATCCATCCCCGCCTCCATGCATGCTCTCTTGATCCCTGCATCCATGTCCGCAGTCAATGCTATCATGCAAAGCCGCTGCTTTGATGCAAATGCTCCTGTGCCTGCATCGCCGACACTTGGAACTGCTCCATCCATCCCCGCCTCCATGCATGCTCTCTTGATCCCTGCATCCATGTCCGCAGTCAATGCTATCATGCAAAGCCGCTGCTTTGATGCAAATGCTCCTGTGCCTGCATCGCCGACACTTGGAACTGCTCCATCCATCCCCGCCTCCATGCATGCTCTCTTGATCCCTGCATCCATGTCCGCAGTCAATGCTATCATGCAAAGCCGCTGCTTTGATGCAAATGCTCCTGTGCCTGCATCGCCGACACTTGGAACTGCTCCATCCATCCCCGCCTCCATGCATGCTCTCTTGATCCCTGCATCCATGTCCGCAGTCAATGCTATCATGCAAAGCCGCTGCTTTGATGCAAATGCTCCTGTGCCTGCATCGCCGACACTTGGAACTGCTCCATCCATCCCCGCCTCCATGCATGCTCTCTTGATCCCTGCATCCATGTCCGCAGTCAATGCTATCATGCAAAGCCGCTGCTTTGATGCAAATGCTCCTGTGCCTGCATCGCCGACACTTGGAACTGCTCCATCCATCCCCGCCTCCATGCATGCTCTCTTGATCCCTGCATCCATGTCCGCAGTCAATGCTATCATGCAAAGCCGCTGCTTTGATGCAAATGCTCCTGTGCCTGCATCGCCGACACTTGGAACTGCTCCATCCATCCCCGCCTCCATGCATGCTCTCTTGATCCCTGCATCCATGTCCGCAGTCAATGCTATCATGCAAAGCCGCTGCTTTGATGCAAATGCTCCTGTGCCTGCATCGCCGACACTTGGAACTGCTCCATCCATCCCCGCCTCCATGCATGCTCTCTTGATCCCTGCATCCATGTCCGCAGTCAATGCTATCATGCAAAGCCGCTGCTTTGATGCAAATGCTCCTGTGCCTGCATCGCCGACACTTGGAACTGCTCCATCCATCCCCGCCTCCATGCATGCTCTCTTGATCCCTGCATCCATGTCCGCAGTCAATGCTATCATGCAAAGCCGCTGCTTTGATGCAAATGCTCCTGTGCCTGCATCGCCGACACTTGGAACTGCTTCATTCATCTTCTGTGCGTCTTCCATGGCACGCACTCGACGCGCCGTTTCAAATCTGATGAACCCAGGTAGCAAAAGGAACAAATGAGAAGAAAGAAAAAAACACGCGCAGAAATGGATAAACAGAAAAATGCCGTAAGAGACCAGCGAGGCAGGACAAGACGAGCAAAAAAGAGAGAACAATTGCAAGAGGCAAACTGGGGCATACAATGGCAAGAGGCAAACTGAGGCGCACAATGGCAAGAGGAAATGGAAATGATATCATCAAGATGCAAAGAGGCCATGGCACAGAGGAGGTGTGAAGGAGAGGCAAAGCAAGGGACGGACCCGTCGATGCCGGGCGGCATGTGGAGGTCGAGGAGCAGCAGATGGATGGGCGGGGAGGGCGTGGCAGAGGAGAGCGCCTGTTGAGGCGCCTGCAGAGCAGAGGAGAGCGCTTGCAGCGCCTCCTCCCCGGAGGGCAGCAGCAGCACGTGCGCCCCGTAGCCCTGCAGCGTTCTGCGCGCCACCATGCGGTTCACCGCGTTGTCATCCACCACCGCCACCCCCCGCCCCGCCACCACCCCCCGCACCACCCCCTCCGCCTCCCCCACGCCCTCCCCACCGCCCGCAGCCCGCTCGAGCTCTGCTTGTGGGAACGTGTGTGCACGCACCAGCGGCGAAACTGGTTGAGCCGCTGCTGCTGCTGGTTGCTGTGGCGATGAAGCTGGTGGCGCCGTGGAGGCAGGGAGAGGGAAAGGTCTGGCCGCACTGGGTGGTTTTTCCACATCTCCCTGCGATTTGCTCTCTCGCCCCACATGCTCCTCACGAGCCCCCCTTGACTCCCCTACTCCTTCCTTGCTCCCCTCCCCAGTTCCCCTGCTGCTGGCGTCCTCCCCGCCCCCCAGGGGCAGCGCCAGCAGAATGGTGGTGCCTGTGGAGGCGTCTAACAGCACTGCCATGCCCCCCCGCATCTCCACGACCTGCCATGCGGGGAGAAAGAAAGGGAACGAAGGGGGGTGGGTGGGACAGGAGAGAGGGGAGAATAGAAGGTTAGTTATAAGAAAACGGAAAGTGGGAGGTGTGTCAGAAACTAGGTAGCAAACGCTAGTGCTGGAAAGAGGCAGCTTAATGAAGGAAGATTGCGGCACTCATAAGGGGGGTGGAAAAGGGCAAATTCTCACACAGCGTCTGCAGGCGCAGGAAGGGAGAGTAACTTAAAAAGGCACGAGATGCAGGGGGAGGAGGCAGAGGCACTCACAAGAGAGGTGGAGAGCAGGAAGCGAACAGGGTAGGGCGTCCAGCGGGGGCCAGCAGCTGCCTTGCCGTCTCGCTGCAACGGATCCCACGTGCTGTTGTTCCGCTGTCGCCGCGGTGATGAATTCCCTGCGGACTGCCCTGGTCTTGACCTTCCAAACAATGGTATTTTCTGAAACGTCCAAATGCAACAAATCGAGAGAAAGTGGCATGTAGGCCTCAGTTTGCTTGCTTGCGTGAGTGTGAAGGGAGGGGGACAGCCCGGACAAAAACACTCACATACTGTGCCCTAATGGTCTATAGTACCCTCTCTCGACAATTCAACATGCAACACCAAACACAAGCTTGAAATATGATTCCTGACAAAGCACTGACCATGAATCCTGACTGCCCATTGCTCTGCAGGTCACCATCCTCAGCAGAAAAGTCACGGCACGAGTCTCCGTGTGGGTCCAGCACCCACTGCAGCTCCTCGGGTGGTATACCACCGCCCGTGTCTTCACATGCCACCACCACCATCCACTCGCCCTCCTCCCTCACCGCGCACGCCCCCTCCACCCACTCCCTCACCTCCTCCTCCAACCGCCCATCCCGGCCCCCATTGCCTCTGCTGCACTGATGCCCACACAACTGCCAACACAACTGCCTGCACACCTCCCCACACACCTGCTCACACAGCTGGGCACAGGCCTGCCCACACAACTGCTTCGCACTTTCCACCTCCTTGGCCTTCCCAGGAGCCTCCACACCACTGCATCTACCCTCAACAACACCACATCTGGCCTCCATGCCTGTTTCCCCCTTCCGTCCAGCACCTCTCTCTCGAGCCCCCCCCACTCCAGGGAGGCAGAGCAAGCGGGTGGGAGGAGGGAAGCGCCGCACACAACCGGCCAGCGGATGCCAAGCTGAGGCCGCCGGGGGCGGCTCAGAGGAGGCTTGTGTGGTGGCCGTGGGAGCAGCGGGTGGAAGAGCTGAAGTAGCAGGAGGCCTTCGTCTAGTGGAATGTGCTTCTTGCTCTAAAGGAGGAGGGATGCACCAGAGGCGGATGGCCACGTGGCCCGATGCTGTGTGGCTCATAGCGTTGGCTGCAGGATGGAGGGGGTTGTGAGAGAGGGGCACACAGAGAGGAAATAATTTGGAAGATAACACGCAAATGTGTGGCTCCCCAATATGCTTTATCGAAAAGGTGCCTTCAAATGAGTGATGTGTGGAGTTTTGCATGCCCGATTATACCAAAACACTTGAAGGCTGAGCAGGGTAATGAAAAAGAAAGGATAACAATGAACAATTGTGAGGGTTACAGTAATTCAAGAAATCAATGTCAGGAGAGTGGCAACAAAGCTTTTACTATAATAGGACTGTTGCTCAGATTGCCATTTTGCTTATCGCTTGTGTTCGGACTCACTACTTGGCGATGCTGTTCGGACTCACTACTTGGCGATGCTGTTCGGACTCACTACTTGGCGATGCTGTTCGGACTCACTACTTGGCGATGCTGTTCAGACTCACTGTTTGGCGATGCTGTGGGGATTATTACTTGGCGATGCTGTTCAGACTCACTACTTGGCGATGCTGTACGGACTCACTGCTTGGCGATGCTGTTCGGACTCACTACTTGGCGATGCTGTTCGGAAACACTGCTTGGCGATGCTGTTCGGACTCACTACTTGGCGATGCTGTTCGGACTCACTACTTGGCGATGCTGTTCAGACTCACTACTTGGCGATGCTGTTCGGACTCACTACTTGGCGATGCTGTTCGGACTCACTACTTGGCGATGCTGTTCGGACTCACTACTTGGCGATGCTGTTCGGACTCACTACTTGGCGATACTGTTCGGACTCACTACTTGGCGATGCTGTTCGGACTCACTACTTGGCGATGCTGTTCGGACTCACTACTTGGCGATGCTGTTCGGACTCACTACTTGGCGATGCTGTTCGGACTCACTAGTTGGCGATGCTGTTTAGACTCACTACTTGGCGATGCTGTTCGGACTCACTGCTTGGCGATGTTGTTCGGACTCACTACTTGGCGATGCTGTTCAGACTCACTACTTGGCGATGTTGTTGGGGCTCACTACTTGCCCGTAGAGTTGAGCAGATGGACCGTGCGGGTCAGGCCGGCCCGACCCGACTCGTGAATAAGTGCGGGTCAGGTCAGAGATTTCGTAAGTGTGCCCCGCGCTGGTTGACCCGACCCGACCCGGGCTAAAAGCCGACCCGAGCTCTGAACTCGGGCCGGGTTACGGCCCAGGATTGACCCGACCCGACTTCGAGTCTCAATTCGACAATGCAGGGTACGAAACCGTAAACAGATCTGGTGTCGAGGGGAATTTCTAACCTCGACAATTAGAACCTTCACACCCGCCAACTAGAATAAGCTCAGCCTCTAATGGCACCTAAGCTAGGATTTTAGTTAGTTGCAGCCTAAGAAAGCATGCTATTCGACATTCACAGCTACTATGCAGGCGTTACTCTACTGTTTAAGGAGATCCCGTTGGTAGGATAGCGTAAGTCCCGATTTCGAGTTTTACTAGCGCGATTTCTCCCTAAGGGCTGCAAGCCATTTTTTTGAATAGCCAGCTTTCATAGGCACGACCAGCACATAACAAAGTACCATTTCGGACTGATTGCGGGCCCGCCGCGTGGACATTGTAGGGGCGGGTCAGCCTGGCCCGACCCGACCCGACCCGTAACCGGGTTTAAGTTGACCCCAGTGTGTAGGCCCGGGTCGGGCCAGAACCTTCAGCACCCTGGCCCGAGGTTGGCCCGACCCGACCCGACCCGGGAGCCCGTGTGGCCCGGCCAAGTCAGGTCGGGTCGGGTTGGGCCGGGCCGGACCGGATGCTCATCTCTACTTGCCCGATGCTGTTCGGGCTCACCACTGGCGATGTTGTTCGGGCTCACTACCGGCGATGCTGTTCGGGCTCACTACTGGCGATGTTGTTCGGGCTCACTACTGGCGATGCTGTTCGGGCTCACTACTGGCGATGCTGTTCGGACTCACCACTGGCGACGTTGTTCGGGCTCACTTCCGGCGACGCTGTTCGGACTCACTAACGCAGAAGCAAAGTTTCAACTAGCGATGCTGTGTAGTGAACGTGAAAATCCTTCGGTGCAAGGTATTACATTTACGTACGTGCACATAGAACATTGACCTAGGCCATGGCACCTGCACTTAAATAGATAACAAATAAGATAGTTGAAGCTGCAAAATAACATTGAACCTCCAACTTTCTGCTTCAATTCACCTAAGGGCTGTGTGGAGAAAGACGCGTCCTGCGTCTAGGACGCTTGCGTCCAGACGCAGCGTCTTAGACGCAGGACGCTAGAGGAGGGCCTTTAGGACGCATGAAAAGACGCATGCCCGGGCAGGGCAAAAAAACCCCCCGGGCAGCCGAAAAATGATGTTATAGGGTATGGGAAGGCGGGGGGGACGACGATGCACACATTTGAGGCAAAATCGTCCCCTTCAAATTTTCAGGGTTTAGGGTTTACGAAGGAGAATTGTCTTGGTAAACCCTCTAGGGTGTTTTTGATGGTCGAAATGGGTTAGGGGGGGTCGACATGACGCCAAATTGACAGTCGCGTCGAAATCGTTTTACTAGTCCATTTCGCGCTGGGGCAAAAAAAAAAAAATCCGATCAGCCCGAAACAAAACAGGGTGCGTCCTGCGTCTGGACGCGCGTCCTGCGTCTCTGCGTCTGGACGCTGCGTCCAGACGCAGGACGCAGCAAGACGCGTGCGTCTTTCTCCACATAGCCTAAGGGCACCCCCGCACAAACTAACTAATTCAGTTTGACACAGCTTGCGAGATTCCCAAATTGAACCCATCGAGCCAGCTCAAGGCGAACTGTGGTTGTAATCAACAAGGTTCATCAAAGCAGAAAGGGCGAAGCGAACGAAAGACACAATTTGCCTAGATTCGAGCTGGGGTTGGGTGCTTATTTGTAGCTACAATCTCTGCATGTCTTGTAAGAAAATTGGCAAATGATCACTTGAATCCATCATGGGTTCATGTTAAAGCAGCAGTATACATTTGGCAGGGAGAGTGCCAAAAGTTTATAAATGGTACATGGTGGGGGCGAAATTGTGGGGCACACTGTAAAACCCAGAACCTCGCTGTCAAATGTATACTGCCGCTTTAAGGGTTTGAGGTTTGAGGTTCGAATCACTTATGGTCCATATTCTTGTATTTTTTTTTTTTTTTTTTTTTTAGATGCTTTAAGACATTACAGGAATGCATTAAGAACATCGTCAGTCGTAACTGCGTAGATAGGGGAGGGCCATGGTAATTGTTACCACAGGTCCCCTCATCCAGCCTATGGTGGTTGATGCGTCAACTTCGGATTGTCCCAGAGAGAGCTGAAACTTATCATCATGGTGTAGTCCCACGCTTCATACGCAGCATTCGTACGAAGCTCACTTGAATTGTGGGAACTCCAACTATGCTGTACATGACCATGACATCATAGTCATGTGATGCTAGTACTCAGCACTAGACACCATGGCGATGCAATCTTCGCGAGCAGTGTGTAGAACTGGCATAAATTAAAAGCACCTGGACCCAAGTCCTATCCGACCCATATCTATAAGGCTTGGTCGGGTCGGGATTCTGGAAAATAGCACCCAGGGAGGGATCCGACCCGACCCGATCCGAACCGGACCCGGCCGGCCAGGTCAGGCCAGATCAAGTCGGGTCGGGTTGGGCCATCTTCTCAGCACTACATACCAGCTTAGGAGTTTGCAAAACAAGTGACCATTGTTTTTTCAAGCTTGTGAGACAACGAGTGTGTTCTAGATCAGTCCAAGGAGAACCTGAACCAGGACAATCCCAGGACTTAAAAAACCTTTAGCATCCCCAGCCCACCACATTTTGACGACGCCGTCGAGTACTGCACGCCGGCCATCCTTATGGTGGCGAGAAGTCGCCGAGCCCGGTTGCAGTAGTCGGTCGCCGTCTCCTGGTCGCCCATCCGCAGATGAGTCATCTGCTCCTCAAGCTGGCCAAGCCAATGTACAGGTCGTCGGTGACCTGGTACGTCGACTCGATGAAGTGCCACGCCTGGTGGCCAGCATCCAGGTAGTCCCTGCACGGCTTCAGGACGATCTGCACGCCCGGCGAGCAGCACCGCGAGATGACCGTGAAGGTCAGCAGCTGCACAATGCGAAATTCTGCACGCAGCTCGAGGTAGTTCTCCGTCGGCGTCGCCACGGTGCCGGCGGCGAAGCCCATCAGCCAGGCTCGATGGCTTCCTTCCAGGTGAGGATGTCGGGTCGTCTGACCAGCATGGGGGTGACCGAGATCCCATCCGGCGTGAATTTGAAGTAGCCGTAGCTCGGCGCTATCTCGCCCGCAGTCACGTGGGTCGCCGACATCGGCGTCAAACCGCTTCGACGTCCGCCGACGTCGCCCTGCGAGGACCCAGCCGCCGACGACTGCATCCCTCGCGCCTGAACGCCATCGACTTCATCGTCGACGTGCCTCCCGCACTGCTGCCGACTTCGTCACCGGCGTTGACGCCCACGTCGACGCCGCCTTCGTTGTTCACCGGTCGAGGAGAAGTAGGTCGAGAAGGGTGCTCCGTCGCCCACACGGCACGGATGCCAGCCTCGACGACCGCCCAGGAGATGTCCCCATACTCGCGCGCCTCATGGCGTCTCCTCGAATCCTCCAGCCGTGCCTCTAGAGTGTCCACCACCCCTGCGTCACCTACGGCGCCCACCATAGTGAGTAACACGCTGATGCTGGCCTACGAACATGATAGGTAAGTGGAAAAGTCGGCTAGACTAAAGGTAAGTCGCGGTGCCGTCCACGCTCACCGCACCATGCGGAGATAACTACTACAACGGGAGCTAGACTACGGGCTAGGCACGGGTGCGAGGGTGATCTCTGCGTTCGTTCGTTAGTCGTTTACTCGTGCTTGCACTACTTGCTTAATCACAAGGGAATTTGGCAACAGTTCCACTAGCAAAAATTCACAACAATGGTACAAAATGGCAAGGCAACCATGACTACATCAGACGCTATCATGCAAGCTGGTCGACTGCCAGCGCAGCACGGTCGACCGCGTTCCAGCACGATTCGGTCGACCGCACTCCATCGGAGCAATGTCACGGTCTGCCAACGCTGCAGGTCGACGGCGTGCCAACGCAGGCCAGCAGCGCACCTGCTTCGCAGGTGCTCGCAGCTGGTTTGCGTCCCGTGCCTCGTCACCTGCATCGCGCAGATGCCACGCCGACCATGTGCCCGCGACTGCACATGATCTTCCACGTCGACCTCGGGATACCACCTCCGAGGTCGGCCTCGCCAGAACCACCTGGGCGACAGTCGCGTGCCTCCGCAGAACCCCGTCGCCCGAGTAACCTGGTCTATACATGGGCAAATGGCGAGTCGAGTTTTACTTGACTCGTTTTGACGAGTTTTTTCCCTTTGACGAGTCGATTCGAGTTTTACTCGTCGAGTTTTTTTTGTCAAAATGCTGACTCGAAACTCGGCCCCAAAGTCGAGTTTTCTGAAAACTCGGATGAGCCTTAAAAAAACTCGTCCGAGTCAAGTAAAACTCGACTCGAATTTAAACACTACCCTAGCCTAAAACCCCAGCCACACGAAAACAGATGTAGGGTGCCCAGAAAACACGCGTCAACACCCACAAACGACCCAGCCAGCCCCACCTCTCCTCCAAAAAATCTACTCACCGCCACGCCAGCTGCACTAGTGTTCACAATTAAGTGGTGGAACACATCCAAAACAGCGAGCCACACCTCCAGCAGCATATTAACCCAGAATCAGACATTTGTACCCCCCCGTGGTGGACCATTTGATGCACGAGTTTTTTAAAACTCGTCTAGGTTAAACAAAACTCGTGAGTGAAAACAAAATCGCGAGTTATGGGAAACTCGCCTGTCTAGCCGAGTTTTTCAAAAGTTTTTTTTTAACTCGCGAGTAAAAATCGACTCGTTTTCACGAGCTTTTTTTACCAAAATCAGAACTCGAAACTCGTTATTTTCGAGTACTTCAAACGAGTCTAGTAAAAACTCGACTCGTTTGCCCATGTATAACCTGGTCGACCGGGCAACCACCACGTCGACCAGCTCCTCCTTGTGCCCGTCGACCATCCAGGTCGACGACCACCCTTGGTCGACCGCACCAAGTCGACCGTGCACTTGGTCGACCAGCTCCAGGTCGACCAGCACGCGTATTAGTCGACCACCCAAGTCGGCGTCCCCAGGTCGGCGTCGCCAAGTCGACGCCCGTCACAGGTCGGCCTCCCAAGTCGACCTCCCGACGTTAGCGCCCTCCCGAAGGCGGCGCCATTGCAGTGGCCCCTGTGCAGGTTGATCAGTCCGTCAACCAGCTCACCCACTGCTACAAGTCGGCTGCACTTCCCGCACATCCGACCACAAGGTCGGCTCCGCCCAAGCGAGGACGGGGCCAACCACAACTCCCGTTGACACGCCCTTACCTTGGATGACCGGCAGGCGGCTCCTCACTACCTCGCCCTTGCCTTGCTCGTGCTTAGCAACTACTACCACATGAAGCACTACTACCACACACCTTCGCAATAAAGAGCTCACCAACAAGCTCAGCGATGACTTGCGAGAGGCGAACTGGATCGCCCATTAGAGATGTTGGAACGCTCTCATCCACATTGAATGTCACTGCAATCAGCGAGTGATGCATGAACACTATAAGCACATAATATCCTGAACAAATAAAAGAGAAGAAACAAAAAGAAAAATGCCTTACATGCAAAACAGCCATACCTTGCAAATCCACTGAGTGTGCAGAGCGTTTAACAAGTGTGGCCGCCTCGCGAACGATGCGTCTCAAGCAGCACGGGAGAGTCTCGAGCTGCAGCCTGCCGGCCTGCAGCTTGGCGAGGTCCAACACTCGGTTGATGAGCTCCACCGTCTCGCCCGCACACGCCCTCGCATCTATCAGGTCGGCCCGCTGCCACTCCTCCAATGGAGACTCCAACAGCTCCTCTATCATGCCTTGGAGGAGCAAGGAGTATGCATGCCGATAAGAAAGGAATCGCAGCACATCGTAAATTCCTTTAAAAACAATCTAACATCGCAGCAAAAGAGCTCTAACAGCTCCTCTGTAGAGAGCCCTTGGCGAATCCAACAGCTAATCTATCATGCCTATGGGAGAAAAAATACACATCCCGGTGAAAGGAAATATAATCGCGGGTGGGATTCTATTGTCTTGTTCAGCACACTTGCAAAAATAGAGAGGGGAACTAATGGCATAGCATGCATGCCCATACGCACAACACTATTGCCATGATCTCTCTCACCCATCATGCCATGCTCTCTCTCACCCATCATGCCATGCTCTCTCTCACCCATCCTCGCTCTCACCCATCATGCCAATGATTGGGGTGCGCAGCTCATGCGACGTGCTTGCCACCGCCTCACTCTTGGACCGCTCAGCTCTCTCCAAGATGGTCGTGCACAGCTGAATCTCCTTCATATGCACTTCCATGTTTCTCCTCTTCCATGCCAATACTGCGATCATGATGGAGAGAAGCACTGCCACCAGCAGCACCAGCAGGCCCAGCAGCATGGGTGCATACACGAGGTCCCAAGCAGGAGGAGGAGCCAGAAACCTGCACAAGGAAAAGGAGTAGAAATCAGAAAGTTGCACGACTCATTTCTCCCTACTTTCACGTTCTTCGTGTGTTGAGACATTCACAATTTGGCAGTAATTCAGCTGCAGATCTCATGTAGAATCAACAGTAGCTGGGAAGGAGATGCAAGAAAAATACATCTCCTTGATTAAGTCACCATGCGAACAAACAACTGCAACAACTTGGGAGAGGGCACTGCATTGAGAATAGAGATGAGCAACAAACCGAGTTGATTCAGTTTGGTTGCGGTCAAAACTGGTTCAACAAAATCTCGACTCGAACTGGGTCGAACTGGTTTGTTTTGACATGGGTAGTTTTTGGTTCAACCCTTTTCGGTTGAAGGCCACACAACTTGTGGCATGTGTTGACCGGAGTTGGCCCCGCCCTCGCTTAGGCGAAGCCGATTTCGTGGTCGGGTTCGCGGAAGGTGCAGCCGACTTAGGTGAAGAAGGCGACGGGTTTGGTCGACTTCCACGGAACCACTGAAAGCCGCTGACGACGGGAATTCGGCGGCCGATTTCGACTTGGGTGGTCGATGAGCTCGTCAAGGGGCGCTGGTCGACGAGTTCGTCGAGGAGTGTTCTTCGACGGAGCAGCGTCGAACTGGTCGAGTGGAGCTACTCGACGGCGAAGCTTGGCAGGTGTGCGAGCTTCGCCGTCGGAGGCTTTGGCGAAGTCGACCTACGTGCTGGTATTCCGAGGTCGACGTGGAGCATCTGGCGCGATCGTTAGCACGTGGCCGACTCTGCATCTACGCGATGGGTGGGCAACGTGCTCGACCGCCTACAAGCACCTGCGAAGCGGCTCCGCACGTGGGCTATTGTCATCTGCGGTTGCAACGCTGGCTAGCCGCTCTGGTGCAGCACTGGCAGGTCGCCGACTTGCAGAGTTGGCAAACCGCCTCCCGCGACCTTCGACTTGCTTTGCTTTGCTGCTGCGCTGGAGGTCGACTTGCCTGATGGCTTTGCCCTGTAAACTCTTGCTGTTTTGCCCTGTGAACGCACAAGTGCTACAATCACTTGTACTACCCGTGCCTTCCCCTCAGTCTAGCTCTCACCGATGTAGAGTGACTCTTCGCAGCGTGTTCAGCACAACTTGTGGCGTATTCAACACAACTTGTAGCGTGTTCAGCACAACTGGTGGTGTGTTCAGCACAACTGGTGGTGTGTTCGTTACAACTTGTGGCGTGTTCAGAACAACTTGTGGCGTGTTCTGAACAACTTGTGGTGTGTTCAGCACAACTTGTGGCATGTTCAACACAACTTGTTGTGGCGTGTTCAGCACAACTTGTGGTGTGTTCAGCACAACTTGTTAACTAACTGAAGGCCAGTCAACAGCATTGCACATGTATAATACTCATACCCGCAGTGGGCTTCGAATGTGCGTCCCAGCATGTCCTCGGGGAAAGGCTCCACATGATCCGGTGGCAGAACCGGCGCAGGCAGCACAAAAGGGAAGACTGAACGGCTTTCCAATTGTGGCTTTTCCGGGCCTAAGATCTGCTTCAGCTCGCCCAGCTCTGTGTTGTCGTACATGGCAAAGGAGTATGTGCTGCTGCCTGCGACGAGAAGAGGAGCGGAGAGGGAGGAACATGCACATCAATCAGTAATTAGTCGACTCAAAGGTCAGCTCGCCCAGCTCCGTGTTGTTGTACATGGCGAAGGAGTATGTGCTGCTGCCTGCCATCAGGAGAGCAAGGCAAAAACAGGAGAGGGCAGGTGGTACAAAGGGGAAAGCAGAACCAATGGTTAAAGTGGTTTCTGTGGGCCGAATATCTGCTTGTGCTCGCCTGGGTCCGTATTTTCATACACGGCAAAAGAATATGTGCTGCTACCTGCAATCAGAAGCATGAGCAAGCAATCAAGAGAGAAAGGCGAGGTTGCGAACACGTGGAATGAGAGCCAGATAAAATGGGCTCCATTTGACCAGAAGTGACTCCAACACAAGTAACACAACAATTGGAGCAGTAACGAACAACAACTGGAGCAGTAACGAACAACAATTGGAGCAGTAACGAACAACAACTGGAGCAGTAACGAACAACAATTGGAGCAGTAACGAACAACAATTGGAGCAGTAACAAACAACAATTGGAGCAGTAACGAACAACAATTGGAGCAGTAACGAACAACAATTGGAGCAGTAACGAACAACAACCGGAGCAGTAACGACGGAGAGTGTATATTACCAGCATGCGAATTTGCACACCAGACCAGACAATAGAAATGAAATAGTGTCAGACAGACAAAGAAGAGGGGGGAGACGGATATACCCAAACAAGCTTCTTACCCCCGCGTATCATGAAAAAGCCCACCGTTTTCAAGCATTTGCAGAATTTCGCGAGTCCTCATCTCAAGATGAAACACACCACCCCATGCAATGCTCATGTCGTCTCGAATCTGTTGTGGAGACGCGTTGGCTGGCAGAGGATGCCGGAAGATGGGCACAACAAAGGCTGCGAGGGAAACGAGGGGAGGGGAGGGGAACGAGCATGTAAGGGTTTCTAGGCGCCTCCAAAAGGCCTATTGAGCTGTCTCAAAAGCTGGCTAGCAGAGGATGGCGGAAGATGGGCACAACCAAGGCTGCGAGCGAAAAAGAAGGGAGGGGAACAAGCAATAAAAGGGTATATAGGCGGCTCAATCAAAAGGGTAAATGATCTGTCTCACAAGCTGGCGGGCAAAGGAAGGTGGAGTATGGCCACAAGGAAGGCTGCGAGGACAAAGTGGGGAGGGGGAGTTGCACCCAAGGGCTGGATTGGTTGAAGAGATGTCTCTTTGTGATGAGCAAGAGATGTCCAAAAAATTTGTCCACATCAGATCGGTTGCAATGTATGTATGCATGCATGGGTTGACTACACCATCCATCGTGTACATGTGCAGAGAGCATATGGTGGATGGTATTGTTTTGAGGCGCCTCAAAACACACCTCAAAACACACCTTTTGAGGCGCCTCAAAACATAATGTATGCATGCATGGGTTTACTACACCATCCATCATGTACATGTGCAGAGAGCATATGGTGGATGAAATGAAACCTTGTACTTGCCGTTTCAGAACGGATTCAAAACCGACTGCATTTGAGAAGCATGAATTAGTAAGCTTGTGCTAAGTGGGGATGCGGAACGAACTTTGTACTTTGAATGAGAAAGAGCAGTGACAAGCTGATGCATGAGAGATGAATGATAGGAAAATCTCATGGGAACTGTGCTCTAAATCAGAAGTCACAGAAGCAGAAGATCAGGAGTGCAGATGGAACGTAAGTGGATGGCATGGCACTTGAAACACCACGACGGGTGCAGTAAATTGAAAGCCTTTCGGCCGACCCAACGGGAGGAAGGAACGGGGCACTGGTGCGACTTTTGACAATTCTCAAAAGTCACTGCACTTGTCTTGGTAGAAAAGCAGGCACGAACCACTTGTGACAAACTCCGTGTAAACAGGAGGCCCCGCGATGGTCCTTCCTTTGAGCAGGTTGTCGATGAGCACGGGAGGGACGAGGGGAGTGAAGTCAGTGAAGGGCCGCAAGGGGAGCTCGGGGTTGATGCTTCCGCACACGTTCACTCCGTACAGGTCCCTTCGCGGGGTCGGTAGGCCCAGCACTGAGAGGATTTGAATCCCCGTGATATTCTCCACAAATTGCCTGCAGGGAAGGGGAGGGGAGAGAGTGGAGTCAGGCAATGAGCTCACAGGTTCAAGCCCTGCCTGGCAGGCCCAGCACTGACTGGATTCGAATCCCTGTGATGTTCTCCGCCAATGGCCTGCACGGACGAGAGGGGCGTGCAAAGAGAGAGGCATGCTTAAACGGCCGGAATGACGTGACGAGAGAGGCATGCTGAAATGGCCGGAATGACGAGAGAGTGCTCATTATCACCCGACAGTGAGCCGGATAATGAGCTCACTGTCGGGCATGCTGCAGCCGGATAATGAGCTCACTGTCGGGCATGCTGCAGCCGGATAATGAGCTCACTGTCGGGACCAGGGTGAGGTGGTGGAGGATATGGAGTATGGGAGGACTAGCACACTGAAAGACTCAACAGATCAGGCCCAACTTGACACAGCACGAGTTGAGTCAGGAGATGCATCGCCACACAAGCCGAGGAGCCGAACAGGCTGACTCCCCTTACTTCATGATGAGTCGGTTAACAAAGAATTTGTCTCGACAGGTCTCGACAAACAATGAAGCCAGCCTGCGTGCCGTTTAACGGCGTTTCAAAAGAGTTGGCCGGCCAGAGCAGACCTGTTTTGAGAGGCCCCAGAGCTAGAGCTGACCTGTCTTGATCGGAGAGGAGCATGATGACGGTGCCGCTGCTGTAGTTGGCAATGAAGTCAGCTTCTAGGGTGTACGCCATGATGGAATCGTTGTTGAGGCACCCCGCCAGCCCCCAGTAGCTCAGGTTGCTGCTGCTGCGCGGCCCAAATTGCCCCAGGACCTTCACTAGGCCCACTGACTCCTGTAGAGGGAGACGGGAGGAGGAGAGGAGAGAGGGGCGGAGGGGGGTGGGGGGGGGGGGGGGAGGGAGGAGACGGGAAGGGGGAGATGGAAACGGGATGATGGAAAGCAGGAGACAAGAAGGGAGAGATAGAAAGGGGCAGATAGAACGGGGGAGATAGAACAGGGGAGATAGAACAGGGGAGATAGAACAGGGGAGATAGAACAGGGGAGATAGAACAGGGGAGATAGAACAGGGGAGATAGAACAGGGGAGATAGAAAGGGGGAAATAGAATGGCTGAGATGGAAAGGGGGGTTGAGTTGGTTGGATGGAGACAGGGGGGGGATGGAAATGGGTGGGGTGGAAAAGTAGAGGGAGGAGGCAGGCTTCCCATTTTCTTTTCTTCCCCAAACCATTGATTATCGCGTTCTGATCCAGGCAGACGCGCCACCAAGGCCCGTCAAAGCTCGTTCACGAACGAGGGAATTCATCGAGGCTGTATTCAAGTCAAGTCATATTTAGAATTCTCAGAAACGAATCCGCCAGGCGGGAGCCCAGTGCAGGCACGCAGGAGAAGCGAGCCCAATGAAATGGCCGAGCCCAATGAAATGGCCGAGCCCAATGAAATGGCCGAGCCCAATGAAATGGCCGAGCCCAATGAAATGGCCGAGCCCAATGAAATGGCCGAGCCCAATGAAATGGCCGAGCCCAATGAAATGGCCGAGCCCAATGAAATGGCCGAGCCCAATGAAATGGCCGAGCCCAATGAAATGGCCGAGCCCAATGAAATGGCCGAGCCCAATGAAATGGCCGAGCCCAATGAAATGGCCGAGCCTAATGGAATGGCTGAGCCTACCTCTGAGAGGGGGGAAGCCCTGGGGAGGAGGGGGGCACAGGGGGGAAGTGGGGGAAGGGTAGAGAAGGGGGTCCGGGGGGGGAGGGGAGAGAGGGGGGAGGAAAGGGGAGGAAAGGGGAGGAGGAGGGGGGGGGGGGAGAGAGTAAAGGAGGGTGAAGGATAGGGGAGGAAGGAGGGAGCGGGAAGAAGATTCTGGTAAGGAAGGGGGGGGGGGACGGGGGAAAGGGGATGTAAGGGGGCGGATGGGACAAAGGTGGGGAAGGAAAATGAAATCGAGGAAATGGCTACCACCGAAGGAGCACTACCAGACAGGTACCACTACCAGACAGGTACCACTACCAGACAGGTACCACTACCAGACAGGTACCACTACCAGACAGGTACCACTACCAGACAGGTACCACTACCAGACAGGTACCAGTAGCAGTGGTACCTGCGCAGATGGGCTTACCTGCGCAGATGGGGCTTGCGCGGATGGGTTTACCTGCGCGGATGGGTTTACCTGCGCAGATGGGGCTTGCGCAGATGGGCTTACCTGCGCGGATGGGCTTACCTGCGCGGATGGGCTTACCTGCGCGGATGGGCATACCTGCGCGAATGGGTTTACCTGCGCGGATGGGTTTACCTGCGCGCATCACTCCGATGGGTGTTACCTGCGCGCATCAGTGCTAGACCTCCGGGTCAAAACTGTGGGGCGCTACCTGCGCGCCAGAGTGTGACGGCGCTATCTGCGCGCATCAGAGCGTGACGGCGCTACCTGCGCGCATCAGAGTGTGACGGCGCTACTACCTACGCGAGTGTGACGGCGCTACTACCTGCGCGCAACAGAGTGTGACGGCGCTACTACCTGCGCGCAACAGAGTGTGACGGCGCTACCTGCGCGCATCAGAGTGTGACGGACCTGCGCGCATCAGAGCGTGACGGCTCTACCTGCGCGCAAGTCTGTGCGGGGCGGCGCTACCTGCGCGCGGGAGATGGACGATCGCATATCCTGCTGGAGGTATCGCACGCGCGTGCGACACCACGCTCGCATCGCCTCCATCGGAAATAACCGAGGGGTGTGTTGGGGTGGGTTGAGGAAGTTATGGTTCACTGTGTTGCCTTTCGATCTGTTTTCCGACCATGTCGTATATAGCAGATGGGTTGTTCCCAAACAGGCTGTGGATCGGGGGTCCTGTGGATCATGGTTTTGCGTCTGATTACACGTGTCACTGTAGCGACGATCGCTGGTAATACAATGTCGGTTGCAGTCGTATTGTCAATCGCAGCCAATACTGAACACCCTCGGAACTGGGCGTGGATCATCGATTCTGCTTACACGTGTAACCAGCTCGGGTCGTTCCTATCACTTTCTGACTACCATGGGAGCAAATCTGTTCATACATGTTGGGTTGTCGAGTCGATGGCGAAGAGGTTACATCGCCTGGCGACGGGCAAGCGAGTCCTACAATTGAAGTAACATATGCGTACAGTGCGCGTTCGACGTTACTGTACGTGGACATTGTTTATGATGGTATAATTGTACAGTAACTGTAATGTTGTAAATATCAAACTACACTATCCCTGGAATTAATTTAGAGCATATTCAATGAAATATAATATTTTTCGTAAGATCCAGTCATTAATTCGATCAATAATTAAAGTAACACACACCACCGAGCACTTGCCTCAAATACGCTTTACTGATGGTTTGAAATAACATTAACGGTTAGCATTGAATCACAACTGCACCCACTCCATGAAATGCTAGATAAACTAGCATACAACTCCCTAGGGCAATCCAGCAGGGAACACCTGAGACTCATACCCCTCAATCAGAATTTTCACGTTGGGGGACATCCTGAAGCCTGCGGGAGCAACCGGGTCCCAGATGGCACGGTCCCCATTCTCGTAAGTCTCCCTTATCCAGGTGACCAGGTGACCAATCTTGACCTCGACGTTCTGCTGGTTCACGGTCTCCGACCCGTCGAGTGAGGGGTTCACCCGCCCTCTGGCATTTGCCAGAGGCCACTCCACCTGCATCAAACAAGCACGACAATCAGCATACAGGAACAGGCGGTAGTGACTGTTGAATTGATGTTAAACAAGGAAACTAGACTCACCACGTTCAGGGCGTAGCCAACTTGCGGGAACTTGACCATGATGGTTGTGGCCTTCTTGCTCCCAAACCCGCGCAGCAGGACCAGTTCGAACGGACGGTTGGCAAACGGACGACTGGTTACCAGGCAGAAGTGCCAGTTGGAGCCAAATCGCGCTGTAAAGAAAACGAGACACGTCCAGGACAAACAAATCAGCGATTCTCTGAAGTGAGTAACCATGCGAGTCACAAGCAGTACACTATCAACAATCACGTACCATCAAGCAGGAAGCAAGAAACACGTACCATGGAGGTAGTGCAAGGTCCACTCTGAAGGAGAACTGCTGCACTGCGGCGCCACTCCTTCGTCTGCCAACTCCTTCCACTTACTCTCAAGGACGCACCCGCCCGGGCCGCGACCGTACGTCTTAATGGCGCCGTTGTAATTGCTGCGTCTCTCTGACGCCTTGCGCATGGCCAAGTTTTCCTTGGCAGGGAATTGGCAGACGGTGTAGTAGAAGATGTCCTTCCCCACGCCAGCTTCCGCGTACTTCTCGGCCATCATCTCTCTCGGCTCGGGCCAAAGTGGGTAGAACTTCATCCTCCAGGCGGGCGCGGCGGTCGTCATGAACGTGAAGGCCTCTAGCGCCTTTTTCTGCAAACATGGCATCCCGGTAAAACGTTGTCAAACACCGCAATCAACTATGAAGAACTTGCCATTTAGAGTGCAAGCAACACTTTAACCTGAATGCGATATAAAAAATCCCACAATCATTAAAAACGCGAAGGGGCTTACCTGGAACAAGTGGTCTTGTTCCAGTGATGTAGGAACCATGACGTTGCCGTTCGAGTCTCGTGGGAGCCTCTGCATGTCGAAACTCGGAATCAGGGCTAGGTTAAGAGCTGCCCTATGCTCCTCGCCGTTGTTAATGATTTGCTGCCGCAGTGCCACCACCAGCGCAGACATCTCCTCGTGTTGCAGATTCAGCGTGGCGTATGCCGCCTCCTTTTCGTCCAGCGCGATTTGTAGGCCGAGCGCGCGCTCCTGTGTAAGCTTCAAAGTAGTCTGGAGGTCCTCAATGTCAGCGCGTAGACGCATCTCGACTTGAGTTCGCTGCGACGGGACATCTGGCAAAAGATACAAGAAACATCATCCAGATAGAAATACAAGGAGAAGACCGTGCGCCTGTGCGACATTAGAGATTGCGAGAGGATGGTAAACTTGTAATGTAGACAACATGCGTGAGTCAAGTTGAAAAGCGAACGAAAATACAAACGCATGTAAAACTTAACGTTGGCTAAAAAATGGAGCCCGCTCTAGAAGTAGTCAAGGTTTCGCTACCTGTGCGTGCACGAGAGACTATAGGGAGGCCGTGAGCGTTTAACTGTGCCACAGCCTCTGTCGTGCCTTCTGCCGCATCCTCTAGCGGGCCGGTTAGGTCCAGCGGCGAAGGGTTAACTTCGCCGTCAGCAGGGCTACACTGTGCGGGAGACACTAGCTGAGCAGGTGCAGTAATAGCTGCCGTGGGGTTGTTACTGCCATCTGCCATCTTCCCCTTCTTCTGTTTTTTACGCGTCAATTCAGGGGGAAGCATGCCCTGTGCCTTCATGAGCTCCATCATCGTCATAAAGGCCTTGACACGTTCGGCTGTGTCGTCCTCGTCGTCTCCCGTCGCTGAGTCGTCCACAACAGTACCATCACGACCAAGTGTCACAACGCCCGGGTCGTCCTCCGGAGCGAGAGCTCGTTTCCCCCCACACGCTGTACCCTGCACTACTGTCATGACGATGCGTTTGCGACTGACAGTAGTCGCAAGCAATAGAAGCAGCCGTTTATGGTTGCTTCTGTGTGCCAGGTAGCTGTTGTGTGTGTAGCAGCCCTGCCATGAGATTGAGACATGTGTGATTTTCTGTTAGTACAGTTACACAACGAGTTTATTATTGACATCACCCTACATTTCGGGGGTAGGCTATCTGCTTAGACTGCGGACTCCCTAATCCTGCTTTAGCTGGTGCGAAGCTAAATGCAATGCTGGACATTACATTGTTCAGCGGCGTACTCCCTAAGCAATGGTGGTGTACACCATCAAATCTGCCCTAAACGACCCGCCCGATGGTAAAATCAGAGTGGTGACGCTTTTGCGACGCACATTCATGCGTTGTCAAGCGTGGCAGGTCGCAAATGCTATGATTGGTTGCTGTGTGTTGGGTCGGTTGTATGACAGAGCCATGGCGGTGTGTTCGGCGGGCGACTTGTAATCGGGTCGGGAGTTGGAGTTCCACGTCGGCAGCTTTTGCGTGCCGAAGTTCTCAACCATGTGGGCATCCCTGCCCGGATTCCTGCGAAAATATGCAAAAACGATTTGATAGCTGGATGAAATGCTGGCTCCCTACCGTTTTTCCGCGCCAGTAACAGAAACCTGATTGTCGGTCAATATGAACAGAGGTGGAGAAACCTTTTTGTTACCGCAATTAAAGGACGATCCGGAACGTTCTACAGACTGTCACGGCGCGTTGTGCGGCAGCATTGCTGTCAATGGAACGGTACAGCATCGCTGTACCATGATTCGATGCTTCCCGCTCGCGCCTCGTCGTGAAATCTGGACTGTTATCTGCGACACACACCACTGACGGAGCTATCCGATTTATTGGGATGCAGTTGTACAATTTAGCAAAATAGCGGCAGACTGTAATTGCATAGTGTATAACAACACATAGATATACATTCAAGATTCAGCTGTTTCACCAAACATCATGAAGTTACTTAGAAGGCACAGAATCAATTATGTTGGAACAAACTCCTTGTGAGTCAAATCGGTTAAAACATGAAACGATTAACAAGCCACACATCCTCATCAGGTCCTGTACGAACTAGCTCTACAGCCCTTAGGATACTTGTTATTCCAATCACACGATATCGGTCGCCAGAGGGTGCCCATTGGAGTTTTTTGCAGCCAGTTGCAACGTCTTTGGTGGGGGCCATGTCATAATATTTTATGAAGGCATATGGCACCAGCAACCTCCCAATGCGAACTTGGAACAGTATCAGTAACTTGGCGTACCATTCCGTCGTACCAGAGTCATCCTCTCCAACGACCGCAATGTTGGAGAACCACGGTCGACCATAAAACATAGGAGCTGCTCGGACGTGATGAGGTAGCCTGCTGAACGCAGCGTCAACGGCTGCAGGCATTGCCAACCCATTGTGGACCTAATAGATGGGGGTTGTGTGAGCAATAGGAAGCATGGACAGGGTTGCAAGGTGAGAGTTCACAATGGCTGCCCGAAAAGAGAGCAAGGGTACCAGGTGGATGCCACGTGTTGTGATCATGTAATGCGTAGAGCGTAGGTGCATGGTGTGACGGTGTAAAAGCAATGACAGTGTGGTTCCTGATGAGGATCCACAATGGCTGCCCGGAAAAACAGCAAGGGCTCTGGGTGGCTGCCATGAAGTGTGATGAGGTGGTGCCATGAGAGTGGGGGGTGGTGTGAGGGTATAGAAGCATGTGG